TAATAAAGGGTGCTAGAGAAAAGCAATGAATAGCAACAGAAAATTACAATACAAACACTGGTAAAAAAAAACAAACAAAACAACGACAACAAAAACACTGCAATACGAGCACTTATAAAAAAAAAAGTGTTTGCTGAGACATTAGGTTTTAGTCCCAAAAGTTCACAATATCACCCCCATCAGCCTCCTTAGTACCATCAACAAAATCTTTAAAGCTATCACCAATTAAAATGTTGTTAACCACCTCAACAGAAACAGCTTCTTCATGTCCGCTGCTGATATATTAACTATAATTATGCATTAAAAAACAATGAAGTACTTGATAGCACTCACTTTGGATATTTTTAAGGCCTTTGACAAGGTGTGGCATAGGGACTGCTACATAAACTCACCAGCTATGGAATCTCTGGTAGAGTCTTTTTATCAAGTAGGTCTATGAAGGTTGGTTTTAATGGTTACTTCTCTGAGGCACACAAGATCAATGTGGGAGTCTACCTTTTCTATTCTACATAAACAATCTGCCTAAGAACATTCTTAGTAAATACAGATGATACCACAGTGTATGGGTTCACCTCCAAATATCTAGATGACTGAGGTTTGACAGCTGATCTCTCTTCTGACCTTACTCTCACAGCTCACTGAGGGAAAGACTGGCTTGTATCATTCAATAACACTTTAACAAAGCTAGTAACATTTCATCATAATTAACAGACCTTAGATTTGGTGAGCAGTCACACCCTCAACAAGTCTCCTTGTCTTGAATGCCTCAAATGGAACTCATATGTTTATGCCATCACTAAAGATACTGAAAAAATAATTTGTTTCTTGTATAACATCAGAAAATATCTGCTTCCAAGTTCTATCTTTACATACGTTAGATCAAGAACGAAGCATTGCTGTCATATATGTGTTTGAGACGTCCAATAATCACTGTTCAGCCTTAAAGTTCAAAAGTGATTATACAGCTTTATGGATAATGATTCTCCATCTTGCAACCCTTATCTCACAGACTAAACATTGCTAGGCTCTCCCTATTTTATCACTACTACTATAGAAAATGTTCAAATGTGTTAAATTCCTTAGTTCCTCCAGCCCAGCCCTTCACAGCTAGGACCCAGTACACAATGTTCACGGTGGCAAAAATTCACCATTCCCTTAGTGTTCCTTTGTTAAGGAGTATGTTCCACAAAGAAACAGTCTAAGTGGAACAGACTCCCAAGAGGATTCTTTCCTGATTGACTACAATCTTAACCTCTTCAAGTCCAGGGTCAACTGTTATTTATACCACATATCCTCATAATATACATTTCATTCTTCCTCCTTTTCATTCTTTTACAACAATCTAACTCAGTAACCCTTTAAATTTCATGATTCTTCGATAGGGTATACTGTATTTCTTTTAGATTCAATTTTACTTTCTTTTTACTGCAACTTGCTGAAAGTTGTAGTGAATATGAAGTAATGATAAAAAGAAATGGAAATTAAAGTGCGGATGAGAAAAGTTAATTGACAATTGCTTTATCTGATGATAAATTATAGGAGTATTTTCTATCTTGTGTGTACAAAATACAGATAACTTCATATACTTTGATATAAGTTTTTAAAATGCAGAAACACATCCTACACAATACTGTAATTAATGCAAGAATTTTGTAATTATTGATCAAGTGTAATATTTTTTTGAATCATTTCAAGGCAAGAATGTCACTAGTATGCAGGGTTTACAGGGAGTGAAAGTGAGAGAAAAACTGAGTATAGGGAGGATTGACAAAAGATGAATGGGATTCAAGAAGATAGAGAGCAATTGATGTTGCATTTAAATTTTTGAAGATTGTAGTTATCAGAGAAGCAAGTAAATGGAAAGGAGTTCCACAGGCAGGAAGTGTGAGAAAAGTAACTGTTGCATTCATCTATTTTAACAGTAAATGGGTGGGACCTAGATGCATGTAGTTGAGGCACCAGGGAAACAAAAAGCTTCGTCAGAGCAGTTGTTCATGAAAATATTTGTAGTAAAGACAGAAGCTCTGTCACGTTGGTGAGAAAGTGACTGAAGTCGAGATGTCAAGTCAGGATTGATTACATTACAGATCCTTCTTTGGATGTCAAGAATCTTGAGATGTACATCAGGGGCACCAGACCAGATATGGCAGCAGGATTCAATGCACAGATGTATGATAGATTTGTAAATGTGCAAGATGGACTCTGACGAGAAAGATTTTCTGGCATGACACACTGAACCAAATTTCTTTGTAGATGCAGCAAATATAGACAAGTTTTGTACTTGCATTTAGGACATTTGAACAAAATATTTGTGACACCAATTTCAAATCCATCTATGTTGCAGTAGGCATTTCAGGCATTGAGACTCATTGAGGATATAACCGCTCTTCAGGACTGGAGCAAATTTAGGGTCTGCTTGATGGTTATGGAATATTACTAGCTTTGTTAAGGAGTTATTGCATGATACAACCCAGTCTATGAAGGTCATTTACAATGGCTAGTCCTCTATCAAAACAATTTCCAATGAAGACCCTATCTCTCTGCAACCAATCATCAAATAGTTGTTCAACACTCATGCAGTTTGAAAGACAGTATAGCAATCAGCAAGCATGCTCAAGATAATGTTATCAATGAAATCAGTTGCAATCACTTAATCTAAAGTCTAAAATGCTGAGAAAACCAATTGGTGAAGTGTGGAAATAAAATTCCCAAAAAGGAATTAGACAATGAAATTATTTGTGGATTTCTGGCAATCATATTAGAAATAAGAAAAAAAAACCCAGAGTTTGCTGATGTAGAGAAAAGTTGAAGACTCAAATTTTATTACTATAGCTAGAAAGACTTTGAACAAACTTAATATCAAAGATTGGAAAAGAAAATTAGCAAAACCGGATACAAGTTAATGATTTCCTTTAAAGTGTATAAGAGGAAAAAGTATTTATTTTCAGATCAACTTTGTTATTTAGCAACAAAGCTTGTTCAGTTAAAAGATACAAAAAAAAAAAAAAAAAAACTCACCTTGACACAACACATTGACCTGGATATAGTGTACTCATGAAGGCAATCGCATAAGCACCTTCCTGAAAACAATGATAATTGATAATTAATTCAGTTTAATTTTTAAGTTTTTGTAGTCTATACCCATTAACCCTCTGTTACTACCAGGGGGTGTGGTGAACACCACACAAGGTTTTTCCATAATATTTAGCAAGTGGCAACTCAATTAGCTTCCTGAATATGTCCAAAGTAACAAGGATTTTCTTGTTTTAGTCATTATTTGTGCAAATTGTAAACATATGAGAGTAAAGTAAAAACTGTAATAATTACAGTAGAAATGTATGCAAAGATCACACTAACCTTTTTATTGTTTGAAATGTAAAAAAAAAAAAAGATAAAAACTAAATAGAGATAAATAGAAAAGGTTGTCAGAGTTAAATTGTTCATAAATTGCTTTCAAAGCATAACTTTGCATATTTAAATTTTTGAAACTTGCAAATTCATGTTTTAATATTAACTTTTAATTTAATTTTTCACAAATTAAACTTATTTTCTTTTATCCTATAAAGAACATTCAAGACAATACATAACCAGAGAAATAAAAACTAAATTATATAAATTATAATATTCTAAGTGAGGTGTTAAAAACAATTCTCAAAGTACTAACACTGTGACAATGCGCTGCAGTATTAACAGAGGATAAATTAACATTGCTAAGAGAGGAGTAAAGTTTAAAATAAAGTAAAAGGAGTAAAGAAGCAATCTTTTGGAGCCTATTTGACATGGACTGCACTTTATAGAATAGGTTACAGAAGCCAATCTACAGACATTTAAATTTAATCATATACAATCACATGATCGACTGGTAATAGAGTGTGTCTGCTTTTCATTGTTGAGACTCTGGTTTGAATCTCTCCAGGAAGGTGACATCTTGATATTAATAGGCCTTGGGGTGGCAATTTCAACATGTGATACTGTTAGAAAGCACCTGAAAACCATGCCATAGGTTGATTCAAGCCTTGTGAGTTAAACTGGATAGGCAAGATTGTTTGTTGGTGATTGTGCTAGCACAAAGTCACAAGTCATTGTGACTGAGAGTTTGAATGTACTGACCTTGTCCTAACTGTTGATCACACCAGATGATGCATTCTCTCCCAGAATCTGTAACTAAGATCTGCTCAGTATAGTTGCAGAATAAACCACAAGTGGGCTTTGGGAGTGTTGAACAAACACAAATTTGCCTGAGCAGGTATCTGCAACAGGGATTGGCTGGACACCCGAGCAAACATGCATACTCAAATACCAGTGGTCAACTATATATATATATATATATATATATATATATATATATATATATACACACACACACACACATATATATATAAAATTATTTTTTTTTAAAAATATGTATGCATTGCGACACAGAAATCACCAGGTTTTGAAACCAAAACCTTAAACTTTAAATTTTAAGTTCAGTTCCATTTTCACTTAATGCAGAAAAACCAATGATTTACTCTATAACCCAAATAGTATTATATATTTTAAGTTGGTGGGGGAATGAGAATTCTAAAATTTTTTATTATTACAGGGGTGTTGGTTTTTTTTTTGATGAATGAAACTTCAAGTATAATTTTATGTGGGAAAGTGAAAATCAGTTAATGTTAGGTAGGGGGTTTAAAATTTCTATGTTGATACTGACTTCCTTTTATGTGGACATGTCCTCACAGTCTGTTTTTTTGGGGTTACACTGCAATTCAATTGGCATTTTTGTTGATTTTCTAATTTTTTAAACTACATATAGATTTTCTTAAAGGGTTTTTCAAATATGATCAAGTCATTATTTATATTTTGATTTATAAAGATCAAAAATAATATATATTTACAAATAAAATATATATATAGTATTACAAAATTAAAATATTAGAATTTAATAACACATTAATAAACTACTTTATGATCAAATAATACATATATAATTATGCAAATTATTCTTGTAATTCTTTTAATGAAAATATGAGAATGTCTACAAAAAACTGATATTTTATTTCTTTGATTTAATAAAGTTTTATCTTTCAGAAACTTAATAATTATATAACTTGTCATGTAGACACAAAAAACATGGGTCACTTAAAGATATAAATGTTCATCTTTTTTTTTTTATTAGTTTCCATTTCACTGTGGGTGTTTTATTTGTTTCTTTTATTTGCCAAAAGTATTTGGATAGGGATGTTTGGTTGTGATACTTAATATTATTGAAGCAAGTCAGATGTTGGCTCCATCTTAATTTTATTTTTAGTAGATCCAATATTAGGATTCTCGATGAGATAGTGCATTTGTAAACTATAGATTCTGTGAGACTTATTCTTCAAAGGACAATTTTCAGGATTTCTACAGTTACATAATTTTTCTTTACTATTGTTTATTCTTATATATATTATCCTTATTTATATATTTTCTTATTTTTCTTAACTATTGTTTATTCTTATATATATATATATATATATTATCCTTATTTATATATTTTCTTATTTTTCTTAACTATTGTTTATTCTATATATATATATATATATATATATATATTATCCTTATTTATATATTTTCTTATTTTTTTCTTGTTTATTGTTTATATATATATATATATATATATATATATTATCCTTATTTATATATTTTCTTATTTTTCTTAACTATTGTTTATTCTTATATATATATATATATATATATTATCCTTATTTATATATTTTCTTATTTTTTCTTAACTATTGTTTATTCTTATATATATATATATATTATCCTTATTTATATATTTTCTTATTTTCTTAACTATTGTTTATTCTATATATATATATATATTATCCTTATTTATATATTTTCTTATTTTTCTTAACTATTGTTTATTCTTATATATATATATATATATATATATATATATATTTTATTTTTTCTTAACTATTGTTTTTTCTTATATATATCAGATGAGGAATATGGGACCCACAGTACTCACCACACTAGGTGTTGTTGCTACAGTTTCCATAGCAAGTATGTTTATTATGGGATGGATGTGCTGGTCTCATGCCAATGCTTGCACCACTGCTTAAATACAATTCTTATAGAAAATTACTATCTACAAACTCTTTTGAGGTATAAACATCCAGATATAATTGCTATGATAATTCTTTTAGAAGTTTACTGGGGACATATGTATCATGGAAAATAAATAAGTAAAATTTACACTGCTTTTTTTTAAAATTTTAGAGCTACAGACAATAAATTTACTATGTAAAACACACAGAAATTATTTTATTTTCCATGACTTGAATAGTAAAGTAAGAGGCAAAAGAATATGCTAATTTTATTTTATTAGTCATAATAAATGCAAGTAAACTCACTATTATTTTTATATATTATAGACATACAACTGCCATATTTAAGAAAAAAAAAGAACGAAAGAAAAAAAAAAAACAAAAGGGAAAAAGAACAAAAAGAAAAAAAAGAAAAAAAAAAGAAAGAAAAGAAAAAAAAAAAAAAGAAAAGAAAAGAACGAAAAAAAAAAAAAAAGAAAAAGAAAAAAAAAAAGAAAAAAAAAAAAGAAAAAAAAAAAGAAAAGAAAAAAAAAAAAAAAAAAAAGAAAAGAAAAAAGAAAGAAAAAAAAAAAAAAAAAAAAAAAAAGAAAAAAAAAAAAAAAAAAAAAAAAAAAAAAAAAAAAAAAAAAAAAAAAAAAAAAAAAAAAAAAAAAAGAAAAAGAAAAAAAAAAGAAAAAAGAAGAAAAAAAAAAAAAAAAAAAAAAAAAAAAAAAAAAAAAAAAAAGAAAAAAAAAAAAAAAAAAAAAAAAAAAAAAAAAAAAAAAAAAAAAAAAAAAAAAAAAAAAAAAGATCGAAAAAAAAAAAAAAAGAAAGAAAGAAAGAAAAAAAAAAAAGAGAGCGTAATTTTTGTCCCATTTCAACACCAAGACATTTGGAATCATTTTATCTCAATGATCTTTTTTAGGGGTATAGCCTTAGTCTTGAAAATGCAATCTATTTGACATGATAATTCCTTAGTCTGGGACAAAGTTTTGGTTAAGCAGTGGGGATAAGAAAAAAAAAGAAGTAAATTAGAATAACATCTCAATCCCCACAAGTGCCAGACCTTTCATGAATAGGAACAAACAAGTTTGCAGCATATATATATATATATATATATATATATATATATATATATATAATGCAGAAAAACCACCATGTGATTGGCATTTAATAATAGATTTGTTTAGAAAGATTTTGTTTTCAGAATTTAAATTTAACATAAAAGAAAATAAAAGAAGCAGAATATTAAATATTTAGAGCAGACAGAGGTTTTGATAAAAGAAAATTTAAAACGAAGTCAATGTAACACAAAACCAAAACAAACAATTCTATGTGAGAGAGAAAGTGTCATGTCTGGAGGAAGAGGCAAAAGAAAATAAGTTTACTGTAGAGAAGTTGAAGAAAATGTCTCCTTTCAAAGGAAAAAAATAGAACTTTTTGTTTTTCAAGGCCAATCTAATTCAAGTCTAGTTTACTTTTTGGCCACATTTGCCAACACAGTTCATTCTGAAAAGTAGGTAAACTAGCTTGTTCATATTATACAAGAAAAAGACATCATCATGATGTAAGGGAACTCTCTTCCTCTCTTCACAAGGTATTCTAATTTTCAGAGTGGCTGCGACAAAAAAAAAAAAAAAAAAAAAAAAATATACTACCCCAAAGAATTACAAATCAAATTATTACCTTCAAACCCACTGATTACACGATTCATATTAGAACTACAAGGGGGTGCTGAAAAATATACATCTCAATGTAGAAGGTCTCCAAAAACTTGTTTGGTTAGATTTTAGGTGGTGGGTTAGGCTGAGAACTTTTTAGCACACTTTGTAAAGCATAAATAATAAAGATCAGATTTGCTGCAATCTGTATTTAACCATTTACATGTTACTTTCTCTGTACAGTTTTATAACAGCAATTTTTAAGAAACCTATGCATTTTATCTTCAACTTCTTCTAAAATGGCAAGGCTGAAGAAACCTAAAATGAAGTGGGAGAGCAAGATTTTTCACAATTTTTAATACAGAGACAAATTTTCCATATTGTATTATTTTGTAATAATACAATAATTAATAGAGATTTAACACCAAAACCTCATATTCAATCTGTGTGAAAGCCAACAAATAAAGTTTTTATGCCAAGAAAAAAAAAAACAAAAAAAAAAAAAACAAAAAAAACACTCACCAATTGTTGGCAGGCCATTTCCACAATTTCACGAAAACTTAGTTTTTGTTCAGCATGTTTATCATAAAGATGCTTTGTCAGTTTAGCAATCACTTCTGTGTCAGTTTCAGACTCAAAATGATAACCTTTTGTTTCCTGAATTGAAAAGAAAACCAATGAATCACAGATCAGTTGAAGTTATGTTTACAGCTTTTTTGCTTGTAGCCAATTTCAGTGAAAATGTAAAATTGATTTAATGTTAGCCTTTACAAAACAAAGAAAAAAAAAATCATCTACAATAATTTTACATTTTATTTAAATAAAAATTATGTATTGTGACTATAACAATTTAACTACAGACTTATTCAATTAGTTTAATTTGCTTTCAAAATAATAAACAAAAGCTATAGGATTCCTAATTCTTTAGACATCTTAGACTATAGCACTATTGAGACTGCAAAAAAAAGTTCAAGCCAAGTAGAATCCCTTCTGGTTGTAAAACTTGTATTCTCAAGATACATTCCAAGATGTAATCTGAGGGAAACAAATTGGACATTTTTCACAATTCCCCTATCAATATCATGATACCATATCACCAGAATCCAATCACAATGTATAATTCATCTAATTTGGAGAGCAGTGTATGCTTAAAAATGTAGAACCTATTACATCTGGGATTGTACTGATATTAAATGGAGCTTTGAACAAATTCTGCTTATTTAAAATACAATTAAAAAAAAAAAAAAAAAGGTAATCAATTCTATTTGTTGATCCACAATGATGTCAAGAACTGATAGTGACTAAGAACAGCAGAGAGGTATGGTTATTTGGCATCTGAAAACTCAACTGAGACAGATCATTGCAGAGAATTGCTGCTGCAACATCCAATGCGGTTGTCTATCAGTTGATAAATGGTAAAAAAAACAAAAAAAAACACAAACACACACATATAAGATGGAGTTAGCTCTCTTGATTGTAGACAAGAATTTCTTACCTTTCATCCTAGAAAAGGTTTAAAAAAAAAAAAAAAAAAAAAAAAAAAAGAAGAGAAATTTAAGAATTTAATTAGTGAATAAAATTTCTGAGTTCAGCTGGAGATTCAGAAGTATAAAGTAGACTTTAAAAAGAATCAGAAACCCAATCCTAAACAGGAAACAAGGGATAAACCTCTACTCCTGTTCAAAAGACTAGGGAGGTGTGTCAATCTATCTACTTCTATCAGGAGAGGAGGAAAAATAAAATAATTAGTGAACAAAATTTCAGAGTTCAGGCACAGACGTTAGAAATATAGAGTTGAAGTAGACCTTAGAAGGAACCAGAAACAAAAATCAAATGATTTCAGGTTGTAGAACTAAAGATTTCAAAGTTGACATTTATTTTTTATGGCTTATCAACCTTTTATGGGTTATTTAAAACCAAAACATTTTTCATTGTAAGAATAATTATTTTAGTTTGTTTTTGGAAATGTTTTTTTTTGCAGTCTTATTATTTAACCCATTCTTATAGGGAGAAGATGAATTCATACCTTTCCCAAGGATATTTGCAGGTAAATGAATGTAACAAAACCAACTGGAATTTGAACCTTGTTCTCCAAATTCCAATTATGAGCCACTATCCATTATATCACTTGCAGATCCACTTTTAAAGTTGAAATATTTGAACTCCAGGAATGTTGAAAAAAAAAAAAAAAAAAAAAAAAAAAAAAAAAAGATTGAATGTAAATATGAAACGTTCGGCACATTTTATTAGCCTGGATTGGATGAAATGTAGCAAGAACAGGAAAGTCAGGATAATCTGACATGAGCAAAAGATGTTTTTCAGCTCTCCATAATTTAATTCAAAAGATTTCTCTCAAGCCATTGTTAAGTAGCAACTTACTCTTTTAAATGGTACAGCAATATTAGAATCATTTCAGTCAAGTGAGAAAGAAAATATAAGAAATCAACTTTGTAATGGTTTCCTGCTTTGATTTATAATAAAATACATAAAAATATAGACTTTTTATGTCAAAAGGCAGAACAGCTGGTTATATTTGAAGCAGCAGAGATTAAAAAGAAACAGCTGGGGAAAAAATGTCAACAGAGTCACAAATAGCAAATTAGAATCTGAATAAACCAAGCTAATCTTAAAAAGGTTGAAACAAAAAAATCTTAATTTTAGTCAATAAAAACAACCACCCCCACACTTTTTTCACCAAGACCAAAAAAAGGTAGAAACATTTCCTAATGTTATTTTACAGATATTAATTGACAGAAAATTTATTGACAATGACTATAATGTCCAGGAAAATATAAGCCTAATTATAGCAGGCGTTGCCTCATTCAGAGAATGAAATAAAGACAAAGTCAATAATCATAGGTTTACAAGCAATTACTATTACTTAATTACAGTTTTACTCCCGGTATAAGAAGGAATAATTTGCATACCTGAAAACAAATTAAAATTTCAAAAAGTCACAAGAAATATTTTATATATATATATATATATATATATATATAATTATATGTTTAAATTATTTACTAGTTTCTTAAAGAAGCTATTTATTTATCAACTATGAAAAATTTTTTTATTTAAGAAATTCACAAAGCATATTAACTTGTTTAGCATTTTGTTAAATTACCTCTCACCCCATTTTTATTTCTTAGGAAACGGCATTGTCTAGTTTGTATGAATTATGTAACCATTTATATCTGCTTTAGTTTATGTCTGGCTGGCGTTAGCTGCCAATCTATGGGTCATGACCCATTTATTTTTGCTTCTTTGTTTAGTTTAACTTAGCATAGGTCATATTTGATTAGTTGTTCAGAATAAAGCCCACAAACTTCCTTTTTTCTTGTAAAAAGGAGTTTGTATTTTTTGCTTTTAAAGCTAAATAAATTGTTCACTTGCCAGTAATTTACAATTGCCTGATGAAATGCACTGATATGCATTGAAATAAGACTGCAGTTGTGTAGCGATTTTTTTTTTTTTTACATGCTTTTCTTAAAATAAATAATATTGCTCTACTCTGCATTGAGCTCTCTTTTAAATTAAATGTTACAAATGTTGGAATTTTACTCTATTCATTCTCATCATGCCTGGATATATATTTTCTGTTTATATGTTATTTTTATGAATTCCGATACAGAAACTGTCATTTGATCTGATGTGCTATACCAAATGACAGTTTCCGTATAGAATACATGTCCAATTCCTGTCAGAGAATGCATATTTTCTATGAAATTTCTTGAACATTCAGGCTGGTAAATGTAATTAATATGGCTTAATTAAAAAACGGAGCATTTACTTAAATAAATTGCATCTATAAAAATAATGTATAAACAGAAAATATATTAAATAATTATCAGACTTAATGCATTTCATTAGAAATTTTGATTAGTGCTAATTAATACAAGCCAGGAATTGGCCCAAAGCTACTGGATTTGTAGAATTCAAGTCTAAGGATATAATCACTGAGTATAAAGAAACTTTGGAATGAGTTTATGAGAAAACATTAAGAGTGTTGTCCTTTCTTAATTTTATGAAAATGGTCAATCTATTCTTCAGTTACTACATAAATATAATACTTACCAAAAGAGATTTTATGTCTTTGTAGTTAGTGATGATTCCATTGTGAACAACAATGAATTCTATAAAAAAAAAAAAAAAAAAATTATTTCGCACAGAACCATTTACTAACACTAATAATATAAGCAAAATGTTCCATATATTTAAAAGTTTGCAAAAGACATGAAGGCCTTGGGAGACACATGCATGCCCATAGAAGTTGAGCATCTCTATTTTGCTGAGTACTCATTTGACTAAGTCTACCATATATATATATATATATATATATAATAGGAAAACTGTAGTTATTGCTGACACATTTCGTCCAATGTGGACTTTCTCAAAGCAAAAAACGAATGAATTTAATTAAAGAAAGTAACTAATAATAACAAAAAACAGAATGTTCTTAGCAACTGGAGGAATGTAGAGAACGCTATTTTCATATTGTTAACTGAAAATAACGTCAGTTATTGTCACGTGTGGAGAATATTGTCATTATAGCTATGTGGACGGCAATAACTACAGTTTTCCTATTGTCATTTCTATTTATAAATATTGTCTTTTCTACAGGTTAACGCTGAGAAATTTTCATTATATATATATATATATATATATATATATTACATTATATATAAATTTATAACAAATGCATGTTATAAAAATCACTACAAAATTTGCAACTTTGTTTTGACACTTCAGGTGTCTTGTCAAATGATGAAGTGTCAAAACAAAATTGCAAATTTTGTAGTGATTTTATAACATGCATTTGTTATAAATTTGAATAAATATCAACACTACTAGGTATTGACCACTGTGTTTTTGATTATTGAATTTTATTCCATATGTACCAACTCTGTACTTGGAGACATATATATATATCTCAGAAAAAAAAAAAAAAAAAAAAAAATTACGGATATTTGAATTTAAAGACATGATTTTTTTTCTGTAAAAATTTATGGTAAGTGTTCTTATAATTTCTATATGCACTGAACTTACTCTTTACTTATGCACATACATATGTAGTGGCCTGTTTAATTTTCTTCCTTTTTTTCTTTAGTTTAATTCCACTTTTCTTCTTTTAGGTGACAGATTACACCTATCTCTTCATTTTCATGTTTTGGTATTTGTTATTGTGTTTGAATGAATTCATGGTTGGGCGATTGTCTCAGATTGAGTGACTCATTTATTATTCAGTCTTACTTTTTTTTTGTGTTATAGTTAATTTATTTCACCCACATTGTGGGGTAATTCTAGTACTAACACTGATTTCCTTAATTTTTTAAATCTGTTTTTATATTCATTGTGGAAATTTTAAATGTACTATGATGACTATAACACAACTGAGAAGTGTAAATGCAAAGTTTTGTTGTTTGGAAAAATGTTTGTACAACTGGGTCACTGATTATGACTAGCTAGGTTAAATGAGAACAGCAATGATCAGCCCCCACCCATCCCCATTGTGTTATATTTGTAAGTTTTGCTACAATAAATATCATCCTTGGCCTTCAGATGGATATCAGCGTTTAGTATCGTTCTGTCCCTACCTCAGACAGTTCATGTAAAAGCAATGTGCAAAGGTAGTATCAGGGATACCAACCTTGTGACAGCACCTCCCCCAATGTGCTGACAGTTGAGGTTCAGGTTATTGATGCCTGCATAGTATGTATGCTTGTACAGTTTTAGGCACTGATACTTGCAGTTGCAAACATACAAACACAGCAGCCCATTTTGTGTGTTCACAATACCCACTTCCACTATCTGCTTTAATGCTTCTACTTACAGATAACAACAAATAGAAAAAAAATCACTGTTTATTATATGTAACTATATAAATGGTACCATTCTCATTTTTTCACTGACTGGACAAATAAAGCTATGTTGTGTGCGTTGGTGTGTGCCCAACAATTGTGATAGGTTTAATGTATATTCACAAAACCCAAAAATGAAATTGATACAGTGAGGAATGAAAACTTGAATCCTGTTTCCAATATATTTGGTTGGCAGGTGGGTAGACGACACCTGGGACAATTTCAGTTACTCATCATAACAGACTACAAATCATCTTTTTTCTTCAACCTGTGCAAATGACTCTCTTACCACCTATCTCTATATCACAACAGATGGTATTGGTTCTCTTGCATCTTCTACCCAAGTGTATCAGAAATACCTTGACAGGCAGCTTGCATCTGCCAACAGAACTTTTCTCAATTCTGTGACCATTTATATTAACCTGTGGAAGGAAATTTGTAATTTTAATTTATTTATTTATTCTTTTATCCCCTTTTGAGCAAGTGGATGGCCGCTTTGAAGATCCTACTTCATAGACTTTACTGCTGGTTATAAAAACCACACTTCAGATGCACATAAAATCATTTAGGTTCCAATTGACTGTTCTAAGCTAGTCATGTGAAGAACCTGTCACATACATGAATATATTTAATATTATATTAGAGTGGCAAGTTCTGTTTTAAAATGTGAAATTCCATGTTCTTCCATGATGGTAAATTTTAATTTTCCATTTTGTTTCAAAATCATAAAAAAAAAAAAAAAAAAAAAAAAACTTGTGTAAACAGTAAAATATACAAATATATAGCCTACTTATATAGGCATCTGTATTTTTTTGTGTTTCAGGAATTTCCAATGATCCATAAGCATATCCCTCCAAGTCCAATCTACAGTGTTTTGACAAAAACTGCAAAATAATTTATTGTCATCATGATAAAAATCATTACAGAAAGCTGGTTCTTCAGCTCTGTATTTTGCCGAAAGTGTGCACCCACCAAGTTTGCTGATTTTTTGTTTACTCATCCTGAAAGATAATCAAACTGGCATTTAAAAATCTAATTACTAAACAAATAACTTTTATTTTTACTACCCTTGACGGAGCATGCTACACTATTGATATGCTAATATTGCACATGGGTATTCGACTAGTGGTGACCATGTGCAATATTAGCTGTTGCAGCAATATAGGCTGTAGCGCTTGGGCACAAGTGACCGACTTTGCTGTGCATTACTTATTTATGCAAAATAATGATTCTGTTGAGTTCCATCTCAGCAATTTCATGTTTTACTGTTGGAATATTTTATTTTTTAGTAGTAAAAATCCCATTTTCTACTTTAGTCTGTGTTTTTTATTTTTCCGTTTTCTGTATCAGAGAACTTGCCACTCTATATTATATATTAAATGTATTTGTATAATTGAATATTTTATGCAGTTATTTTATTTAGATAGTCATTTAGCAACAATGACAGTCAAACTCTGAAGCTACAGTTTCAGCAAAGAAAAATAAATTTTCAGTTCTCATTTATTACTTAAATCTAATTACTTACCATTATTACTCCCAGATCTTTGTGGGTGACTGTTTATAGCACTTGGTTCTCCATGTGTGGCCCAACGAGTGTGTGCAATTCCAATATGACAACTGGTGACTTCCTTGAAGTCAATTTTAGGATCATCTGAAATAAGAAAATACAGTCTTCAAATGGCTGTTGGATTTTTACAAGAAGTGAGACTATGATGGTAGTCAAGATCATCCATCTAAAATTATTGAGAACAATCTTTCCCAGTTTCAAACCCTACAAGTATCAGATTACCAGTCATGTCATACATATGCACAATCTTAAAAAGATAACTTTAGTAGCTTGGTAAATGTTATATCTTTAAGATAATATTTATGAATATTGCTCTGCAAAATAGGTAATGAGCACTTTCAAAAATCTACTGGCATTGACTAATTTTGAGGTAAACTATCTTGTATTTGATTTAGACAGGAGGAATATATGAGAGAGAGGTACCCTCTCCAATTGACCATCTGCAACATTGCTTACCCTTTACTCTTACAACAGCTTTGACTAATTAGTGTTTAGAACTGCATATTCTATTAGTAAATAGTCTTAACAATAGACAATAAGGCAAGGCCAACATAGGAAATATTATTGAAAGAAAAGACTGTTCAATGAGATTTCCTCACTTAAATATTCTACCATGGAAAGCTCAACATGAGATAATCAGATTTTGTTTAGAACTGCATATTCTATTAGTAAATAGTCTTAACAATAGACAATAAGGCAAGGCCAACATAGGAAATATTATTGAAAGAAAAGACTGTTCAATGAGATTTCCTCACTTAAATATTCTACCATGGAAAGCTCAACATGAGATAATCAGATTTTGCTTGGTTTCATTTTGTCTAAATTCATTTTATTCTTTTCTCAAGTCCTGACTTTTCTTTTTATTACCTTTAGTTTTGATATTTTATTTAATGTCTGTTTGATTAAAATAAATGAAATCATGTCAATTTTGACAGATTAATCTTAAATCATGAAATTTTGTTCCCAAAGGTTTAATTTTTTATGAATATTGTTTAATATATTAGACATTTTCTCCCAATTTCACCAACACACTTTTGTTTGGATATAAAACATTTCTCTAAGATAGGAAATCTCATTGTTTCACTTGCAAAGGGTGTTTTCTACTACTGGCTTATAAGAACCCATGAAACTATAAAGAAAGTGGAGGTGATAGCTTCTCTCAGGTTACATACTGAAGAAATTGAACCAAAAGTGAGTGAGTTTTCTAAAATACAAGGTTGGCCTGTCTGGAATGTATCTACTTGTTTTGAACATAAAGAACCAGTTGCAGGTCATTGATAAAGGTAGTAACATTGATGCATGAACAAACACTAATCCTGTAGTCATGTTTGCATTCACAGAGACCAAGGAGATAAATTCAGGTCTTAAGTATGGATTTTTTTTGGAAAAAGCTTATATCATCCCGGTCAGTCAGCCCACCTACACTCCAGTTCAATTTTGGACTCATGTGACTTGCAACTTTCCTAAGGATAAAATCCAATTTGCATAATTTACTGTTGGCTGTAGATTAATAGCAAGTAGTTGCAATCAAAAGCAACTAAAATTAAGATTAAAGAAATATTTGTCACAATAATGGCTAACAGAGCTTATGTGTATCAAGTTAACATTCTTTTCACAAATTTTCATACAGAACTGCTGCTATTCTTTAGAGCAATTTCCAGGTTTATGTAAAAAAAAAAAAAAAAAATAAAATTTACAGGGAAGAAAAGAAAATTTATATATATATATATTTCACCCCTTGCAAGGCAGTAAAGCCAACAATGAAACACAAGGGGTTACTGGGTGTGAAAGAGTTAGAAATCTTGCTAAGGAGTGAGAAAAAAAGGAGAGTAATCAGGAGGACAGTAGATAGCGACTGACATAACAAATGTTTTGCAGATTAAAGTTGGCTGGAAAGCATGGAGCTGGATGGGAGTTCCCCAAACAAGAAAAGAAACTGTTAGCATAGAATTAACAATTACATCTAGCCAACTCAACTGTAAATTGCTGAGACCTTGACACTGTGCTTAAATTCAAAGAGTCTAGGCACCATAGCAAGTTCTCTTGAGGTATGTCAGTAACCAAGATCTTTAGAGAATTTGGTTTACTCATAGAAAAAAAATATTCAAGTACCATTTGACACGAGAATAATTTACAGTACAAAATTTTTTTTACAAGAATAAAAAGAAATTTTTCCAGAGATTTTCTTTTTAATAATCATTGGTCAATTTGGTCATATACATCAGAAAGTTCTCAAGCAAGACTTGAGATTAAGTTAATTCTGCTAGAACATTAGTCTAGGACAACAAACTTTCTAATTAAAATTATATCATATATTCTAAAAGTAACAATTTTTAAAAAATAAATTATTTTCACCAGTAATTGTCATCATCAGTTTCATCTCGTACACAAGAATTTAATTTCTTTTTGCCAATTGCTTCCTCATGATGCCAGCAGTGATGACTATATTCACTGCCAACGTGCAGGTTTAGAACTAGAAACTTCCAGTTTTACCAAAACTTGCTTGTCATCCATTCCTTAGCGCTATCTGACTTTGCAAGAGTTGGTTGAAGGTGAAAGAAAATCAGAGTAGAAGAAAGTGCCGATGACATAATTTGTTTAAGGTGGACAACCCTTGTTGATATGCTGTAATCATCATCTGCTTGTTCCACCATTGGGGCTTTTGGGGTTGGTCACACTTAATCTGGGTCCTCATCTTTGACCCATCAGAAATGAAGCATAAACACACACAAAAATATTAAACATGTCTTTTTAAAACTGGTGAATGGAGCCTGAATGAAAAAGGAAGGTTGAAGGACTTAAATTAAATTTTTGTATTATTTTTCTTTGAATACAGAAAATATTAGTATCTAGCTGTAAAAATTAATTTTGTTTTAATAAACAAAGCAAAAAGATTTTTCCTGTCATTGTTTGGTTAAAAACACATGTATAAAATATGGACAACATATGTGTTGCTTTCTGCTTATCATAAACTAAAGTGAAAATGCAAGGGTGAATTTAAAAAAAAATGATAAAATACAGAAAATTTAGTCACAACATGAGGTAGGTAACTGCAAAAGATAAAAGTAATTAGAACTGTAGATTCTAATATTGGAGTATATATATCTTGATTATGGATAGGAATCCGACAAAATGATAGGAAAAAGAATGAGTAGGAAACAGATCTTAAGCTAACAGGTTTCACTTTATTAAACTTCGTCAGAGATCAAGATGGAAATTATAAAAAAATGATAAAAAGCAAAGACATACACATTAATGGTATGTTATGTTTGGCTATTATTGCTTAGATACGTGTCACATGTAATGAAGTAACAGATGATATTTAAATATGTGTGGCAAACATTCTTAACGTTAAAGTGTATAAAAGATAGTAAGATGCAGTTCAATGTTTTCATTGGATATGTTAGATGTAAGGAAGTAACAGATAATATTCAAATATGTGTAAAAAAAACAAAAAAACATTCTGGATGTTAAAGTAAGTAAAGGTTAGCGAGACACTGCAAGGTGTGTGTGTGTGTATATATGTCTTAACAATAATCAATAATCAACTATTTACAACTAGGCAAGGCCAACATAGAAAATATTATTCAAATAAAAGTCAGTTTGATGAGATTTCCTGAGTTGATAATGACATTAAAAAGCATTTTGATGGTGAATTGTTGGAATATGTTAATAATCTTTATATAGAAAATGAACGCATAGAGCACAATTCTTAAAGTTTGATAAAAGTTACTCTAAACATGAAAATTAAGAACATTTCCATGAAAAAATTTAAAAAAAAAAAAAAAAAAAAAAAAAAAAGGATTAATTGGAAATGTTTAAATATAATAAAATTGATTTTGATAAAAAGTTACAGTAATTTTTTTTATTTTTACTTATTTTTAAAACTAATATTTTAGCTTTTAAATTTAATAAGCTGTGCTACTTGCATTAAAAATATTTCAGAATAACAGTTGCAGAACATAAAAACCATGATTTAAAGTTTTGAATGATGGATTAAAAGTTTATTTGGAGTCCTGTTCTCAAGGCAAAAAAAAAAAAACAAAACAAAAAAAACGGTCAATTCTTGTAACACCTGTATTCACTTACTGTCAATTTCTTCCTGAAGGTTTATCACTTTTCCTGGCTTCTTGATAATTTTAATGGCACCTTTTGAACTGCCATTAATGCCTTCTTCATATGCAACTCCTGGAAGAAAGATTTTCACAGTTACAGAAACTGACAATATTACAAGTTTGGTATAAAAGTGTATTTTTTTTTTTTTTTTTTTATCAGAAACAAAAGGTTTGGATTGGAAAAGATTTCCTAATTATTCAAACATTTCACAAAACCATTTCAAGTGAAGATACAAAATACAATTTTCAAAAGATTCCCTTCAAATATTATGTGAAATTTAAATTGAAAAAAATATCAAATATTGAAGCAAATTGTCAGAAAAGTAAATGAAAAATAAATATTGACAAATGTATAAAGTTTCAGAAAAGGTTTTGACTGTAAAAGGAGATTTCTACATTGTTTACACAGATTTGGTTTTTCATAAAATTACTAGTAACCAAATGATGTTTTCAGGATATTAAGATATACTCATATGAGATGTAGCTTATAAATAGATCTTTAACAAAAAGAAAAGGATACACTTCTCTCATCATAAATAGCCTCTTCAAAGAATATAGCATCAAGGGACTGGAGCCATTCTTGTGTCACTCCAACAACAGCATCTCTATGGAATAACTTTCTACATACATTTTTGAGACGCCCAAACATATCTGAAGAGCCCAAGTTTAGATTATGTGACGGAACATCTCAATCATAAATTGTTGAAACTACTCTTTAATCAGCAAAACATTGATGGCAACGGTGTTCTTGGATGTGTAGTGCTTATGAACTTCCTGTTGCATGACCTAAAAACATTCTCAGATAATATTTATGCAGAGGATACCAGTTTATGAAAGCACTTCCAAAAATCAAAATGATTGGAGCCTTATACTGATCTTTCCTCTGACTTAGCTTTAAAAGCTTCATAATTGCACTCAACAAGGTTTTTAATGTCTATTGGAACTATATGATTCATTGCTAAAAGATGCTAGTAAAGTGGTTGGTTCATTCTACCACTCCAGGAAGTATCTTACACCAGTTATGCTTTATCTTTACAAGTGTCAGACCAAAAATGGAGTATTATTGCAATATCTAGGCTGGAGCAGTTCAATTCTCATTTTTCACTATGCAGCCTCTTTCGCACAGATACATCATCACAGATTGCTACTATTGCTGCTCTCACTGCTTCGGAAAGTCTGCTATCAGAATGCTACTATCAGTATTTGCCATGGCAAGTGTTCACATGAGTTCCACCAGTCTTAACATTTATGCTATATCCATGGAATTTGATCACCCTCATTTCATCTGCATTTCAATTGTAAAAAGGAAGTTACATTCAGATGGCTTCTGTTCACCTCAAGCTTACTCCAACAAAAATGCTCCCAATGAACACTATAATCTTAACCGTTTCAAGTCAAGGGTCAACTGTTTACCTATCCTACTGCTTATATTCACTTCCTACTACAGCCTCTTTCATTCATATCCCACAACTCATTCAATAACCCCCTGCCTTATGTGGCTCTTGAGCTTCGTATTGGGTTAAGATATTGTGAAACACTGAACCTACAAAAGAATGTTGGATGCCAAAAGAGACCAAGATTTTTTTTTTACAGAAGTTTGCACAATGACAGCCAACCTGAAATTCAATATAGACAGGATATTTTACCACATAATCTGGAGGAGCCAAATCATGACTCATCTGTTTAAAATAATATTTATCAAAGAAGTGGTTCCAAACAAATGAAAATTATTGCAGAGGTATAACTGTGGCTCCAGTTTCTTGAGACGATATTCTTAAAAAAAGTAGGTCTTTATATATTGCTCATGCAAACATCAGATAAGTATATCAAGCATAACAGCAAATATGTTGAAAACTAGTATAATAATGCCAATAACCTATTCACAAGGTTTTATATGTATAGTAATGAACATGGATTACTAAGTGTTTGTAGACACCTTGTAATTCATTAACACAATATTCCACAAACCTAAATAAACTTATCTTAATATGGCTTTCCTGACAGCATATCACCTTCAGCCTCTCATCCATTTTAAAATATTTGTTTCAACTAACATTACTGACAACCATTTTTATTGCTTTGAATGAAGAATTATTTATATATGGTCTATTGTTAACAATGTTTTGTCTGTTATACTCTCTATAAGGCATATGTCAGTCTGAGTAACCTACAGGGAATTTTTTATAAGAGGTGGTTTCAAGCCCCTCAAAATCTTCAATCTCCTGATGAGAGGCCTTGTTGCTGGATGTAATTTATCATCATACCTAAGAATGGAGAGTTCAGTTTGAAATCCCTGTAGGCTATCTGGATCAACATACACCTGATGACGGCTGGAGGGCAAGATGGCTGAAACATGATAACAACTAACAGATGGACAAAGTATAATTGAGATTTTTCAATTTTCATTTAAGTTTTTCTACTGGATTAATATATGGAGAGGCTGGACAAGCAATCTATTCACTGAGCATCTGAAAACTTTTTGGTAACGTGGGCAATAGCTTTGTAGACAGTGAATTTTTTTGCTTATGACCTGAAACACTCAAGAATTGACTATAATTCTCTGCACTTATCTTGAACCATTAGATCCATCCAATGTAGTTATACATTCATCACTAAAAGTTTTTTTTTTTACTGAAAAGTCAGTTTTAATGCATTTCATTGTGTTGGTAGTTTGGATAAAGACATGAAAACAACAAACATTCTTAATATCCTGAATCTTTTCTAGTCATATCCATGAAACCAAATTCAAATACTTTCTCACAAGTCAATTTGGTTTTGCTTACTAATTCTTAAAAGGAAGTTTTTCTTATGTTAGTTTTCCATTTCAATGATCTGTTCAACTTCTTGCAGTTTCCAATACAGTGTGCCTATCATTTAATAACTTTACAATATCTGGTGTCTTTTTAGCTTACCTTGTTGACATAGCATATCTGAAATCAATAAATATCCATAACTATTTACAATATGATGACTAACACCTGAATTGTATACAAATAAGTTACTGCAGATAAAAAAAAAAAGAAAAATTTTAAATCGTGTTATATTAATCATAAATATCCTGAAAAAAATTACCAATTTGTAAAAATGTTGATTCCCATCAAAATCTAGCAGTACAGATGCAAATACATGTTTAGACAATGTGTAAAAGTTCTTGTGATCAAGGATTTGAGTGTACTAGCCTTGTTTAGACTGTTGACAATTTTAGACAATGTATTCTCCCAGAAATTCTAACTAGGGTCCACTCACCATAGTTGCAGCATGAACCACAGGTAGGCTCTGGAGGTATTGAACAAATATAAATGTGCCTGAGTAGGCGTCTGCAACAGGGATTGGCTAGCTGCCCTAGTAGACAGGCATACTCAGATTCAAGTGGCCAGCTATTATATTACATAATTTCCTATATGCACACATGAGTCACTGTTACATTCTATTTCGGCTGGTGCATTCTACAGCCTTCTTTACATTTACTCTGCATATAGAATTGTAATGTTATTGTACAAACTAACAGGAACAGGAGATCAAATCTCTCATATGTAAAATTGTTTTTTCTGACGGTGAGAGACATTGTATTTCATCTCTCTGTGGAGCAAATATCTTCTAGTTATCCCAAATGTGCATATACTTAATTCAGCTGGGTCAACCATCTGTTTACACGTTGAAGACAGATACTGACATCTACTTATGGTGCAAATCTGTATCTGGTGGTTAGGAAGTTACCTTCCAGGTTAACTTGCTGATGCACCTAGTTTCTGAAGTTTTGGCATAACATAGTATAAAGTTCATCTTGGTCTTATCCGGGGGGGGGTTAGCCCAGTACATATTGGGTCATCAGAAATCAATTTCTTAGAACAAAGATATCTTTATTGACATTAAATTTTATTCAGATATTTTCAGGCTACAATCATTCTACAGAATGAGTAATTTTGGTAGTAAAGAAAGAAGATTAAATGAAAGTACAAACAAAATTCACTCTGAATATTTGTTTACTGCCATTTTGGTTTAGGGATCCTTTCTTCAGACAAGCAGAACTCTGCAGAAAGTACTAAAATATGGGAACTGTAAATGAAAGAGAATTCAATTGTTTGAAGAATTTGAATAGTCATATATTTATTGCTGGTTTCAATTCCTCTTCCTGATTAGCAATGTATTTTTATTATAATCCTCCCCACCTTTGTTTTAATTCTGACCACCGAATCTCTTGAAATTCAAAGCAAAACAGAGGTAGTACTGAAATTTGCTCAAATTATAAATTTCATTTTCCATCTGTTACTATGGTATAGAATGTACAGGTGACAAAATGGTTAGAGGCTTAGAAAGAACTAAGTTCTAATTCCAGTTGAGATGATAACATTCACATGGACACAAATACTCTTGGAAAAGGTATGAATCTCCTCTCCTCAAAACGATGGGTTAAATAGCAGGGTAGACTGGATTCTAGAGCTGTGGTTGGTAAACAGTATAAGAAAAAGAAAACTGCATTCCAAACTATGTGGCCTTGTTGGGTACATATAATTCTAACCAAGAAAACATTGGTTAGCTCTGCAAGCATGGAAGAAACAAATGGACATGTTTAGAAACAGACAGACATACTGAAGAAATCAAACGAATTTGCAGTGTATCTTCAATTAAAGACAATTCTAAGGTTGATCCATTACAAATTCTTCTGTGAGGAGATGTATTGACATCTATAAATCCATCATAAATATTTTTATTAAATTTTCTCACAGAACAGTTGCTATATTTATATAGTTTATAAAAATTAATTTTGAATGTAATATCTAAGCAGCTAAAAATGGATATACCTGATATATGTGAACTTAAAGAAAATTAATCCAAATGATTTGCAAATGAATAATATTGTGAGTTTGGCATTTGCACACAAGTGTGTGTGTGGGGGGGGCACGCAAGGGAGATAACTTAAATTCTAATTCCAGAATAGTAACTCTTATGTAAATAAGAGTAAATATTTTGGGTTTAACAAAAAAATCTCCTGCACATTTATAGAACTATCATAATCAGCAGAAAGTGATTTTTTTTTATTCCTTCTTAATTTTTCCTAACCCTCTGCCTTAA